TTTACTTGTGCCAAAGCATTAGCTTTTAAACTTAAGCCAATTTAATTTGAGTTCTGTCATTTGCAACTAAAGGTGTCCTGACCCACGCATGTCCATGTGACTAATGAGCGGCTTCTGGTGACAAAGTAGCATCTAGAGAAGGCTAGAGTCCAGCCCTGGACTGAAAGATCACACAAATTACCATGAGCAGGTCAGCGGTTATGGCCATGGGAAAAAAAACCTAGAAACTGAGGAGCTGGCCTCATGTCAATAACTGCTAGCATGAAAACACAACGATTTCCTTTATATTTCAAGGGTTGGGTCATACTGGCCAGCCCTGGCTTGGCACAGCAACTTAGTGTTCCTGCCAAGGGAGATGGTTAAGATGGGAGGCTGATTTATTTGAGTACATATGTGTCAACATCATCCTGGAAAAAAAAGCAAAAAGGGAGAATGCAGATATGCCTGCTGGCATGTGTTATTACCAAAGAGGCCTCTTTCTTGGCCTCAGAGACAGAAAGCCAGAATGTTAGACACTACTTGAATCTCAAGGTTGACCAAGCGTGGGCCTTGGAACAACAGAGTCCCCTCTGTATACTGAACAAGGTAGGGGCCTGCCTTACCTAGAGTGGACCTGAGTGGTGATAAGGAACCCCATGAAGACCCCAGGAAGGAAGAGGCAGTGAGTGCTAAGGTGGACTCCTAAACAGCAGGAATCCACACTGAGAGGGTGACAGAACCACTCTCTGTCCATGTCACCCACTTCAAGTCTTGTCTGTCCAGTGTTCTATGGTACTTAATACATCCAATCTCAGCTCTCGACCTATCAGTCCATGCATAACCCATTCCACAGACTTTTTTTTTCCGGGGGGGGGGAGTCTGGAAAGAAGTGTTCCCCAAGCAGAAGGGGAAGGGCACACCCTTACAGAGAAGGGTCTTTGACCCACGTCCTGGAGAGAAAGCAATCCACAGGGGTGAGGCCTATTGGGAAGAGCTGTGGATGCCAACCCTCCATCTGTCTGCCATGGGAGAGAATGGAACACCTGCGTGCAGAACACCAGCAAGGGTGGATCCAAGAAAAGCCTGAGGAAATGCTCACTCCTGGGATGAATCAAAGCTGTTCCTATACTGTATTCTAATATTCCCACGAAGTAGCAGGGACCAACGGTTCAGGAGAGTAAAGGAGAAACACTGAAGATGGAGACCATTCCATCATTTAGCTTAATGTTGTCTGCCAACCAAGAGAAGAACATCATCAGTTCACATTAGCAACCGCCCAGTGTGGAGTGGCTTGGGGAGCACCTGGCTTTCTACTGAGCACTGACGGAGATCAGCTGCTATGGCCAGAGGGAGCTGTTCTGGGGCCTCCATCAGGCAGTGACATGATCAGATTTGTGCCTTGGAAAGGTCACTGCGGCTGCAGGGTAGAGGATGGATGGAGGGGAAGAGCTGGCTGGTGGTTTGGAAGCTGCTGGAAAAGCACACATGATGAGAACCATAATTCGGGCAAAGGGAGGGGCTGGGCAGTTTCTTGAGGTTAAGAGTTCAAGTCTGTCTCTGAGCAAGACCAAGAAGCAGTCACCACTAGATTTTGTCCTTATACACTCAAATTGTCTGGGGTAAAAAGTTAATGGGATCTACACAAAACAAAACTGATGTCTCTTACTAGTCCCTGCTTGGGAGAGGGGTGGCCAAAGCTGAAGACAGCACAGAAGTGCATTCTGAAGTTGAAACCCTCAAGGTTTGAGGAACTATTTCGGTAGACAGACTACAAAACTCCTGCTTCTGAATCTGCTTGTTGGGTTGGCTCTGTGCAAATGAGACATTTCTGAGGCTTGGGGGCTTTTGTTGCTCATTCTGATAAAAGAATAACCATGTCTCCTTCTACAGGCACCAAAAAGGCCAAAGTTCAAAGATGTCCATTTGGGACCATCCAAAGCCCTCTTCTACATGAGAGTACATTGAAGACACATCTGGATTCCCAAGCCATGAGTAAGGATCTCAAAAATGTGCTCTGATATTGTTCCCACCACCATGCTCTCCTCTTTGGAGTGTGCAATGTCCTTGAGGAAGAGGAGCGCCCTCCTGAGCTTCCTACAGCAAGCCTGCTGTGGCAGAAATCACATGGCTATTGCTGGAGGGCTTACTCTGTGCTCAGCCTGTATGGGGCCCACTGACACTTGCTCACCATGGGTAGGACTCTCCCACTGCCCAGTCACTGTCTAACCACTGGCCTGTTAGCACTCAAAAACCTTCCCCTGCCCCTGTCATCTGGCTTCTTTGGGAAAAGTCCATGTTTATGGTCTCTTTCTGCACTGATTAGAATGACAAACACACAATAAAACACTTGTCCCCAAAAGTGACTTCTTGGATCCATTAGCAAAATGTTAGAAAGTGGGTACAAAGCCCTAGAAACAGGACACCGAGGCTCTGTGAGCTTGGGGAGTATTACAGAATCCTAGCCCAGGCCAGGAATGAGTCACAATGAAAGCTTTTAAAATATAAAACCATCAACCTAGATTTCAATTCCAAGGAAACACATACTTGGCCATGAGGGAATGCTTAAAAAAAAAAAATCAAGCTTAAGCCACTTGACAGGAAAATAAAACAGCCAAGGAACATTCAAATATAATGATTTACATCCTTCCCCGGCTCCTGTCCAACGTGGGTCTAGGCGTACATGGATGTGACCGCAGTGTGCATACCCACTCAGGGGCGCCCCTTTTCTCACTTAGCACTATCTCATGCTATGTAGCCCCTTGCCTGGATGTGGCCTTCAGGGTGCTATGCCTATCTTGTGGACAATTCCCCCTCTCTGTGCTCTGGGGCTCTTGGGTTGCTCCGGGTGGATATTGGGGGAACAAAGGATTTCTCTTTCATTATTTATGTGTGCAAACACTGTTCGTTTCTCTCAAAGAAATGAAGCTTGATTGATTTCCCAAATGTGCGATAGAGACTGTCCCACAATAAATATTTAAGACTGACCAGGAAGGATGACCGCCATCTACTGAAACACAATACCAGGAATTACTTAGTTAAGCTTCCCGAATGGAGGGAATGAATGAATAACCATCCTATGTAATATTTGTTCAGCACCTGATAGTTTACACAGTGTTTTCACTTATCTTATTTGATCTTCACAATAACCCCAGAGAGGCAGGCAGGGCATGGATTACAGGGATTATGAAAACGCAACATTTCTCCCCCTACCCCAACCTTCTTAACAAAAAAGGTCTATACAGGCTTAGAGTCACTGGTAAAGGTCAGGGAGTCTGGGGACTACATCTCGGTTCTGTCATTCATTCATGTACATATTTAAAAGGCATTTATCCCAAGCCTGTAGCAAACCGGACGAGATGGCAGCGGGTACAAAGATGACTAAAACACAGTGCTGCGTAGGAGGAAGGCCTCGTTCTAGGCACAAGTAAACAAGCCCATTCTTTGCAAAGGAACAAGAGCTGGAGAGAATGAAGCAGAATGGGGACCATGGCTCGAATCTGATGTTCATGCAGAAGGCCAGCTGTTATTTACCAATACTAGTCCCCTGAAGAGGGAGGAGGCTTGGCCATGTGACTAGGGTCAGATCTTGGTGGGGAAATCAACCAAACTCTTCCTTGATGGGCAGGTATTTCCCCGGGTGTCCGCTAATCCCAGGGGTCCACGCAGGGCTCCCGGCTTGCCTTTTGCGAAGCCAGTGCTTTGCAGGGGCGCCTCTTCACGCCCTGCGAGTTCCAGCTGGGCGGGCATTGCAGGAACTGTCGCGGGCCATGGGCGGATTTACCTTTGCTAAAGGTCCGGGAGCCAGTGCCTTGTGCGCCCTGTGCGCGCTGGCGCGCGGCGCTCGGATGGAGCCTGCCCTGGCCATCGATGCGCTCAACCCTGTTCGCTGGCACTCTCGGTTTTCTTTTATGCCTTGTGTTATTTGCCTCAAAGATACTTGTTACATAATTTTTAGTTACACGAAGAACGCACAGAAACAGTCTCCTTTAGAGGAAAAACTCCGGTTCCCGCGCGTTCCCTGCAGGCCGACGGAAGCTGCGGACGCTGGCTGCGGGTCTTTTTTCCCGCGGGAAGGCTAGGGACACCTGCGCGTGCGGGAGAAAGTTTTCAACGTACGCAACAGCGAGGCTACACCTCCACGAGCCTGGCGGTCGCCTGCCTGCGTCACCGCGCTCGGGCGCCAGCGGGACTCCATGGGCCCCGCGGAGCCCTGGAATCCGGCTGGGCGGGCACCAGCAGGCGGGCACAGTCAGATGACAAAGTGGGCTTTATTTCGCGGGGGGCAGTCAAAGTTTTCTGCGAACTTTTCCACTTGAGAACCACAACCCAGCAGTGCCCCCTACAGAAAGCGCAGCTGGGAGGGTGGGTGCCCCCAAGACCCCCGACTGCTGCGGGAGGCGCGGCCCGGGCGGCCTGGAGCACGCTCTTCCTTTTTTTCCCTCTGGTTGTTTTTCTGATACATCTTTTTTTTTTTTTTCAGAGTTAAAAAAAAAAGAGAGAGAGAGAGAGAGAGAGAGAGAGAGAGAGAGAGAGAGAGAGAGAGAGAGAGAGAGAGAGAGAGAGAGAGAGAGAGAGAGAGAGCGAGAGAGCGAGGGAGCGAGCGAGTCGCGCCGCCGCCTGCAGTGGAGCGTGCTCGGCCTGCAGAGGCAGTCGTCTCCCACTTTTCCTCTCCCGCCCCCGCTCCGCGCAGCCAGCGCGGCCCTGCTGGAGCTCAAATTTGCCTGCCGCACAACTTCCACTCTAATGCGGGCGCCAAGGCCCCTGGCGGCGGTTCGCAGCGTGGGGGCCACTTTGCCGAGGCTCGGACTGGCCGGTTCTTCGGTCTCAGCAACAGAGCCTACTTAGAGAAAGGGAAACCGGGCGCCCCGAGAGAACCCCGGGAGAGGGCGGAGCGCTCCCGCGCCGGGGCAGGGGGGCAAGTGACAGGGGGGCAAAGAGCTCCCGCTCCCGGAACGTTGCAAGCAAAGCTTGCGAGCGTCGCAGGGGGGCACTCGCGAGGGACGGACAGGAAGAGGGCCAGGGGGGACGCCAGAACCCGGGACCACGGCACGGAAACGGCCCGGGGCTGGGCTCAGTCAGATCCGGGGATGGAGGGAGCCGGAGAAGAGGCGTGAAAAGGCCGGGGAGGCAGGCCCTGCTGACCTCCTGGAGGCCGGCAGCCTGCTAGCAGTGGAGGACCAGGCCACTCAGGAAAGGAAGGGGTCAGGAGGTCGGGCTGAGCGTTGGCAAGCTCGGTCTGCCGAGTAGGGAGCTGCAGGCGCTCTGTAGTTCAGGGCTCGGGCCTGCTTCGGGTTGTCCACACAGAAACCTAGAGCGGGCCTCGCGCGGGTGGGGGGGCGAGGCGCCTGGCGTCAGGGCGGGGCCTAGCGCAGCACCCGCGCTAGGGCCCGGGGGCCAGGACCTTTGGGGGTCTCAGCAACTGAGAGTGGTAGGGGGCTTCAGGCCCTCCCACTTCCGAGCTGGATTGGCGAGTTAGACGCTTGTAGATCGAAGGTTGGATTGGGGTGGGGTCTCTGGGACGTTGGCCCGCTAAGCAAGGATTGGGGGGATTCAAGTGCTTAGAGATCGAAGTCAGGTCTTGGGTAGGGGGAGTCAGACAATTGGAAAGCCTAGGTGGTTATTTGGGGAGGGGTCTTTGCGCTTTGGCGGAGCGCAAAGCTGCGCTTTTCAGCTTTGGGCCTCGTGAAGAGAGGCTTCTGTGAAAGGGTGGGCCGGCTAGGCCAGACCAAGAGAAAGTGAATCAATCAGGACTATCAGTGGGCGGGGGGACCCTGAGTGGGGGGTCACAAAGGGTGAGACATGGCCACCAGGCGTTTAACCGACGCTTTCTTGTTGTTGCGGAATAATTCCATCCAAAACCGGCAGCTGTTAGCCGAGCAAGTGAGTAGTCACACCACCTCCAGCCCTCTGCATTCACGTAGCATTGCTGCGGTGAGTCTCCTGGCGGCCTCTCCGACACACGCACCGTGTGCACTGCGGCTCCGCCTGTCTGTCTGTCTCTGTCTGTCTCTCTGTTTAAAAAAAAAATAAGAAGAAGAAGAAAAATAAGACTAAGAATAATACGGAAATGCAAGGTGTCGTGGCTAGGGTCAGAGGGCCTCTATAACCCTGGTTGGGGAAACCGTCCTAGGCCCCTGCCCCACCTCTGCCTCGCCCTGTCACTTCCGCAGCCCTCCCAGTCCTCCCCCCTCCCGCCTTCGTCACTGCAAGACCGGTGACTTCCAATTTACATATGTTTTAACACTTGGATTTGGAAGCATTGGGTTTTTCTGAAGACTTCTTTTTGTTTTGTTTTGTTTGAAGCTCCCCCCGCCCTCATGGCGGGCTTCACTTGGGCCCTAAAGACTTGAGTTGCGGGATCGCAGACCCAAATCTTTGCAAGTGAACAGTTCCCTTCCCCCAAAGAGGAAGGAGTTGTGTTGTTGTTGTTGTGTGTGTGTTTTCCACCCCTTTTCTTTTAATGGCTTCGCAGCCCTCTGTGTGGCCATGTTCCCTATGAATAATTGCTTCACTGTTTTTCCTGGGGGCTCATGTTTGTGCGACTGTGAGGTGCGAGGCTCTTCATTTTCCATTTCCCAGACAGGAAATTAAGCTTTCCCCTGCATTCGAACTTTTTTAAAAAACATGATGTGTATGTGAAAATTAACCCCTCAAAATAGCACATGTTCTTTTTAAATTTTTATTAACCAGAACCTTCACTTAGCCTAACAGGAGAGGTGTTTTTTTTTTTTTTTTTTTAAAGCAAGGTCTTAGAAAGATTACTGTTTTGGGGTTGCTTTTAGTGGGGCTAACTTTCCTTTTCTGAGCCTCAGTTTACTGCTCTTTTAAATAAGGGGGCGGGTCAGGGTGATTCAAACAATAATGTTGATTATTAGCTCTGTAATATCTTTAATTGAAAAGTGAAGATACAAAGCTCGTGTTAGTAGGGGGCTTCCTGCTCTAGCCAGGCTAGGTTTGAATGGAAACAACTGGAACATGGGGGAACAGTACCCCCAAGATCTGATTCTTGGGGATTATGCTTGAAAGAGAGCTTTGAAATCCAATGTTTATTTCACCTCATAGTAGCTGTACTGCCTTTTAATTTTTTTCTTTATTATTTATCCATATTACTAAATAGAAAAATTATGGCAATTGTTGTAATTATTGACATGTCTACCAATACAGTTTTTCGTTCTTGTAAGTCGTGGTGGAAAATATCTTTAGCCATATTACTCATTGAAAAGGGATTTTAAGCCATATGTGCACTTTCAGGAATAAAAGGATGTAAACTTTGGTCAAAAAGCATAGAAAGCAAGGACTGGATATATTGGGTTTCTATTTATTTACATGAGAATTTGAAGGCATTTTACATTTATAAAAGGAAAGAAATGGTATTATACAGAAATAAACGTGAAGCTGTCAAGCACAGAAACAGGCTATGTCTAGCGCTAATTTTGAAAACAGTGCCCTGAAATAAGCCAAGAAATAGAGTGCAGAAACTGAAGGAATGAAATTCCTCAATGGGTCTTTAGTTATGTTAAATAGGAAGAATTGCATGCTCCTTAAATGACTTGATTTTATGCTTCTTTGTAGGGGGAAAACACGGAACTAAAACCCGTGTTATGCTTCTGGGGTCTCACTTTTAATTAATAAAACATCATTTTAATTTCTCAGTTATAAAATTCAACACACCCTGAACCTTTGTGTAACTTGAGAATTTTTTCTTTCTTTTTTTAATCTTTAAGTCAGATGATTTAAAAACCTGGCGTCTGAGACGGGTGCTTTTTAAAAGTACATTTCTGAGTTAAACCACATTTTAAAATGCTTTTCTAATTTCAAATTTTTTTTTAAATATGTAAACTAACTAAAATAATTAAAAATAAATTACTGAAGTGTACAATTTTGGGAAAATAGATATGTTGGGAAATATATAGATATATTTAGCTAATTCAGTTTCTTGAAAGTAGATTTCTAAATCTAACAAAAACACATGTTTTAAGTCAGAACATTAAAAATATTTTTATGTCACACCATTGAAAATGTTATATGCCTATATTAGTGGGAGCATTTAAAATCTTTTTCTGATCCTTAAAAACAATCAGATCATTTCAAATATCTGTGTAGTCAATTCAGAGTCTAAAAAATAGATCTTGAAGTCTAACAAAATTAGTTTGCCTAAGTTTAGAATTTTAAAACAAAGCACATTTGTGAATTTTGATTGTGTACATTAGACACTTCGTGCCATCAATTTCTGAAGTGTTTAGGGCGAAGTATTACACCTTCTGTTTGCTTACGGGTGATTTCACAGAAACCATTTATGCGCACACAGAATCAAATATAGCCAGGTGTGAATATATGTAGAGATTACCGTTTTTTACCTTTTCTGGACATTTGAAAAATTATAAATATTTTGGAGAAAAAGACATGGCTAATGTGATTTTTAAAAAACTGATTTTTTTAAAAACTATGATTTTCAGTGTTCCTCACTGCACATCTAGCTCAAATATTTTAAAACCTCATTTCTGACTTGATAATTTTAAAGCCATATATCAAAGCAAAACTATATCTGTCGGATTTGATATGGGCTAGGTTTTACGAGATACTAAGAAATACTGATGAATTATAACTAATAATTAATATTGTTAATTTTAGTAGAGATGCCTACTGAAATGTTTCCAAATGAAATGTCAAAACGGCTATTACTTATTTAAATACTTAATTTCCCTCAAAAATAGAGGAAGCCAATAAAGCAAAATGCTATTAATTGTGAAGTCTACAGATGAATATGTAAGAGGATATTTTACCATTTTTACATACTTTGTTTGAAAAGTAATAAATAAAAACTTAAAAGAAATATGTTTATCATAGAAAAATAAAACAATTAAAGAGACAATTTATAAATATGTATATCTAAACTTAGATAGTTAAAAAGGGAAGTAACCAAACACAAGATTTAATTTAAAAAATTGAAATTGTAACATGAAATTTTAAGTTCCTACTTAGAATAAAAACTGTAGAAGTTAATTTTGGTGCATTTGTTGTCTTATGCACAATTAAAAATGAATTACTTCAAATAATTGATTTTTTTAAAAAATGTAATGCTGGATTTTTACAACCCTGTTTGAGGGGAAAACTGCAGAAATTGATTGCAAAGTGGCATCTGTGTATATGTGGTTTCACAGACAACTCAAAACAAAGCACATCTAATACTTATCCCCAAAATTTAAATCCACATTTCTTTGAATACTAATTTGAAGAAAAAGCTAGAAGTTCATTGGTAGTAGGGGTTATTGTAGGTACCTATATATGCATTGAGATTTTTTATAGCATTCAGGCAAGTATGTTACAAATAAGCAGGAATTTAAATATGTCACAGATAAGCAGGAATTTAAACCTTTTGTGACCGTGTCAAAATGAAAATCTTCAAGGGCCAGAAGGGACTAAAAAGTCATTTGGCCCAATATCTCCCAATTGTTGACAACTGCCCGCCTTTGCCCCATCACTTTCTGTGACAGCGGGGCTCGGCATTCCATACCTTTTACTACTGAAGCGTCTTTTCCTTTATTGACTTCAATTATGTCTATGTCTCCCAGCCTGTAGTCCTAGTTTTACTTTTTTCCCCCTAGGGTCTATGTCACAGGAACGCTCTTTCTCCTTCTGCATGAAGACCCTGAAGCCTTGTTCCCCGGTGTGTTTTTTTTTTTTTTTTTTTTTTTTACCCTAGGTTTAGAAGTCCCGGCTCAGACGCATGGTTTCTTTCCTAGAAATAAGGTCTAGTTTTTCTGTATCTTTCTTAAATTTCAGTGCCCAAAACTGAACAAAATTCTACTTATTAGTGCATTTTGTTGCATTAATATTAGTAAAACTAATTGTTAAAAGCAGACTGGGGTTTGATTTTAGTCTCAGGAAAACACACTTGTTGGGTCGTTCTCTTGCACTCTGTTTTGGGCACCCCGTCATGTTTGTGCCACAAGGCAGCATGAAATAAAGGAAAAAGCTGTGGATGGTTAGTCTGGGAACTCAGGGGAGTCCCACTCTGTTGCAGACTTACTCTTTTGCCTCATTTGTAAATTGAGAAGTTTGAATTAATAGTAGTCCTGTGTATTCAACAGTTGTTTTCTCGAGTTCTTTTTGAATATGTTGTTTCTCTGAACCAAAGCACATAGCTTTTTTTTGTTTGTTTGTTTCTCCCAACCAAAGCAACTAGTATTTTGAAAAGGGAAAAACCCATAGTCAACAACAGTATTGTGGCTGTCCGTTCATGTTTACTGACAAAAATCCTGAGAAGTAGCCCTGATACTGAGCAGAAATAACTTTTTGATGTGGTATCGGCTGAGTGTAAGTTTTAAGATAGCCACTCATACAAGCAGTTCCAGGCAGTTTGGCTTCAGGAAACTGAAATAGATGTACAAGTTCAAGAATCATTAAAAAGTGTAAAGTCTTGAATGAATGAATGAAAAGTGGAAGTTGAGCTGCTGTTCATTTGATGAGGTGCTGTATGGATTTTTGTTTTCTTTGATCTCCTGTAATGAATCTAATGCAGGGCTGGAGCTACATTGGTAGGGTTTACCACATAATCTATGCTCTGCTTTAAAATAATGCATAATCTATAAATGGAAGCTTGAGTTAATTGGTCTTAGTTTGAAACTAGCACATTATTTTTAATCAAATATGTGCTTTAAGAAGAAAAGAAAATAAGGATTAACTCTAGGTAAAAGAAATCTAAGCTCCTTATTCAGTGTTGACTATAATATTAGCTAAGATTTTATTGAGTGCTTATTGTGTGCCCGGCATTGCACTGAACCCTCTCCTTGAGTAACCTCATGTCATCCTCACAGTGCCCCACCTCCTAGGTGCTTGTGATACAGGTATGGGTATAGGTATAGAAAGGTTGGAAGTTGGCCGAGCATCACCTATCTCATGAATGGGGGGCTCTGGGTGGAACTGAGCTCATGTGGCTAGAGCCCCATGCTCTTACCTCCTGGACCACACTGGTGCTGGCTGTTTTCTAGAACACGGGTTGCAGATCTTGGAAAATGTAAAGATTTGTTGTTAAGTTGCATTTCTTTCCTTGCAGTAGGCCGGAGTCTTTCTTCATCTCTGTGGCCTTCCCTAGTCAGTTCCAACTTGCAGAGTGAAGGTTCTGAGCCCTATTCAGGCTGTCTGTTGGAAAATCAGTTCTCTGTCTTTAGAATCCAAGTATGAAATCATTGTATATTTCTCTTTAGATCTATTTGCTTTTCTGCTTTTAAAGGTTCCATTTGAGCAGTGAGGCTTACTTGAGAATAAGGGTACTTTGTTGGATAAAAGTGAAGCAAGCTTTTATTTTGGCAGTAATGGAAATAAAGTAAATATGACTATAGCATAGACCTGTATTTCCAACTCATTTTGCTCAACTTTTCCAGACTTCCTGAGTAAACACAGATGGGTTTCCACTTATTTTTCAGTTTTATGTAGCAAGTTTTTTAGACTATAAATTCCACATGCTACTTGGAGTTTTCAATATTTGCTTGATTTCATGCCATTGGTAGGTCAGAAACTTAAGATTTAGACATTATAAAGATTTAGAAGGTGTAGATATGTAGAAACGTGTATTCATTCGGCTGTATTTTGTTTTTTCTTGGTGGTGATTCTCAATGTTTTCATTCAGATCTTCACTAAATGTTCGGGTAATTTTGTGACTGGGGGTTTTGAAAGCCTTCTGTTTTTAAGTAGCAAAATGGGGGGGGGTCTATGAAAAGTGGGCCTTCTGAATTTAATCCCTGTGCTGTGGCAGCTGGCTGTTACAATAAGTCCTGAATTGTTAATAAAATTAGGGAGGCCGAGGATGGCATGGAAAGAGGTCTGGACACTGGGGTTGTCCCCATCCTAACCATCAGCAAGCTCTGTGACCTTAGGCAATGCATTTTGAAGCTTAGTTTTCTTATTTATAAGAAAAGAGTTGTGTGTAGCCCTAGAATCTCAGGTTGCAGTTTTACCTCTTCTCATCTAATAATTGTAGAAATCAAAAGAGCAGGGTGTGTGTTCTCCAGCATCGAAGGCTGTAGTGCACAGCAGAGATCCTGACCGGGGTTTGCGATGATATTTTGTTCAAAGATTAAATGCTGCAAAGCGGGAAGAGGTCGGAGCAGCCATGGTTAGGGTTTTGGCTTGCATCTAGTTTTATTGATAAAAGGTGTCATGCTTTCTTGCTGGAAATGTTAAACTATAAAACAAACATTTTTCCTTTTTAAAGTAAAAGGAAATAAGATCAGATTTCCATTGACACTTTCTTCTCCCGGTATCTTCTGGCACTACTGTGAGGGGCATGTATTTATAAACACCGTTCTCCTTTGCCCCCAGCAAATTGTAGGAGTGAGGAAGGTTTTCAGGTTTCTAGAATGTCACCTCTTGAAGTTCCACCTAAGAAGTGTGGGTTGAGTACATTTTATTGCTATCATTGTGTAGTCCTGTTTTGAACCTGATAGACCAACTTCATTTGCACTATTAATTTTTAAGTGAGAACATTTTGTGTGTTTTTTTTAATTTTCTAAATTTACTGCTAAACAAGAAAATCAACACAGTTGATTATTGCAATTCACCACTAATTATTTCCATGATCAATACTGTAAAAAAAAAGACCTAGTTGTTTAGATTATCTGTCATTAGTAACTGTCTATTCAGAAGATAGAGTTCCACGTTGATCTAAAAAAAATCTTTATTAGAAATAGAAGCTCTACTCCCCCTCCCCAATCCCCCTCACAGACAGCTCTCTTTATCTTTTGTTTTGTCTTATTTGCTTGCTTTTATAATAGTCTTATAGATGATTGTGTGCTTTCTAGACTGATAATAATACATACCAAGCAAGTATTGAGAATTTTTCTTTTATTTTCCCACCTGTGTTTTCCCGGGAAAGAGTGGTTTCTCGGCTCTCCATGACCACGGATCAAGCCATGTCTGTGGGATTTTGTTTGTAGAGCTCTTACACATGGGGTCGCTCAGATAGCTGAATGCAGTAGACAATTTTGAGGGTTGTTCATTTTTTAATTTTGTTGCATTTGCAGGGCTGATTTATATGTTAACATATGCATTTATTTGACACAGTAACATTACATCGTAGCTTGTTCTCTTATTTAATCTTCCGCAGAAAATTTAGAATGTGGCATGGTATGTGATATTTGATATTTATGAAACAGTTTAACTAGTATACTTTAGTGAAAACAAAGTGTTTATTTCCATTGTATTTTAATTTTTACAACTATTTGTTTCTTATATCCTATTTCCTTTTACAAAGCAACCACAGTTAATAAAAATAAAAATATATCTTAATGCAGCTTTTATTTTTTAGAAAGCAAGAATCAGAAGGGAACAGTTTTAAATGCCTTGACTAGTGGATCTTTATTTTTAGTCAATTTAGAGTTGCTTAACACCTGTTTTCTCACCTGCCGGTGCCTTGTCTGTCTGCCCCATGCCTTTCTTCCTGCTCTCCCTACCTGGACCCACCTGACGGCAACAACACATCTGCAGGAGCTGGATGAGGTACTGTGTTTTGGATATTTTTGCATGTGAGGTGATTTTAGTTTATAAAGTACCTCTTTTTCCTAAAGTCTTTGCTCATATATAAAATGCTAGTGGACATTATATATGTTTTAGCATTTGTTTTGATTATAATATGTCTAACAAAAGTGATGCTTAGATTTGTTGAGTGTCTTCACCCTGCATGAGCTGGTGATTAGAAGGAGGTGTGGGGCAGCATTTGCACCTCTTGGGAGGTGTCTCACCATTGTAAGCATCGAAAGTTGAGTGTTTTTTAAAATGTGAAGTTAGAGGGGAGTGATACTATGGCTCAAGTAGAGCACAGGAGGACATGCTGCCTGACAGAAGCCCAGGGAGGTGGAACTGAAGCCCCCAGAGGGTCTTCCAACGTCTTTCTACTTTGTTGTGTCTGGGATGACATGTGGAATGCGTTTCTGGAGCTGGGCACTACATCTTGCCCAGCAGGTGGAGGGAGTGTGTGCACAGGCACCTTCCTTCTGGCTCTCCTAGAAAGGTCGAGGGAAATGAGATGACACTGTTGCCACCCATCCATCTCGGCACTTCTCACCAGGGATGACTCTTGCAATGAGTGACTACGGGGAAGGGCTCTTTGATTTTAGTTATAGACTTATACAGTGAGCTTCGAACAGGACCACTGCCTTCAGAACATGTGGGGTCCTGATAGACTAAGATTTATGTAAAAATTCAGAAAACCTTAACTAGTGTCTAGTACACAACTGAAATATCCTTCATTAGGAGCCCATTATATAAATCCTACAATGTCCTCAGTCCCCAAGTTGTCTTCCTGGCCACACTGCTTAGTGGGAAGGAAGCCACAGGCAAAGCAGTGTGGGTAATGTGAATCTTACCTTTCACCCCCACCCCACACACTTTTTTTTAAGGAAAATAACTCACATTTATGCTTGTATGTACTTTAAAAAACTGAAAAGATACACATAAAACCACTAGCAGTGAATATCTCCCAAGAGAAGCTGGGACTGGAAGGGACATTCCATTTCTACTGCACACCCTTTTTTTCTGGCGGAGGATGCATTCAACACGTGCACAGGTGACTTTTGTCAGTTGTCAAAGCATACTCTCAGCTGGAAGCTCCTTGAGCAGGTGCCGCCAGTCCTTGGTGGGAGTTTCCTGCCTTGTTCAAGAGCTTCCCTGCTAGCACCCAGCCTGGGTCTGCAGAGAGGAGAGGTCACAATGAAGTTAAGGATATCTGGGTTGCAGTGGACATGGATGGTTTTGCTGACCAAATTCCAGCACTGTTAAGGCTCTGAGGCACATAGTGCAGGCAGTTTTAAAATAAGTGTAATATAAAATAGATGTTACTCCTTACTGAGCAATTGGTAAGGTTAAAACCTGTGACCTTCAAAGGGCAATGTCTGATGAGGGACAAAAGCAAATACAGGAAGGACTCTGGGTGAAGGGGCATTTGCATGGGAGGCACACAGTGGCCCTGGTTGCCAAAGGGTCAGCCCTCTGAACCCATCTTCCCTTTCCCGCTTCCTCTTCAGTCAGCAAGTTCAGAGACTGCCTGTGTGCCGTCTGAGCTATCGGGGCCCTTTTCCTTTCCCAGGCTCAGCCTTTGGTGACCAGAGATCCCAAGTGCCTTTTCTCTGTTCATGGACGGAAGTGCAAGTGTGACAAACTCTTCCTGCCTGTCTACCTGGGGTGCCTGTGGCTACTTTACCCCCTTGTGTGTCTCACTTGCCACTTTTTCTCCTCCTCCAGCACCATTAGGTTTTTTCATGGAGTGTAGCTTCCAGAATTGTATGACTTGTTTTATTTACCTCTTCCATTCATCCCATTATTTACTGCTGATTCATCCAGCTAATTGTGTGTTCATCACTGTGAAGTGCCAGGTGCTGAACCAGGAGCTGGATGTACTGGGATGGTCTACTCAGACTCCTCCTGGGCTAGGGTAGGCTTCACCCTGGTATCTCTCTGTCTGAGCCCTCACAGAAAAGGCCTCTGTCTACCAGAGCCTGTTCCTTCCAGGGCTTTCTGTAGGTCACTCTGACAGTTGGTCACTCTACTACTCAATCAAGAACCCTGGAGACACCACCTTCATTCTCAGAAAATGCTCAACAAGATGTCCTCTGAGGAAGAGATCCAGTACTGCCATTCTCTCTGCCAGGGAAGTGCCTGGCCTCTGTTTTGTCCTCCTCCTCTCATCTGCTTATGACAAGTCATCTCCCAAATGGTTGGGTTTTTAAAATTGAAAATAGAGAAACTTTTTAAAAAAATCACAAGATATAAATGTCAGGCCCCCAAACCACATAGCTTGGAGAGGGGCAGGTGGTGTATTGGTGTCTGGGTCAGGTCTCTGATCATGTCTGTGTGGCCTTGAGAAAGTCCCTGCGCCCAGGCTGGTCCATTCCCCACCCCCAACCCCGCTCCTTAAGGGTTAAGGGTTAGTTAAGAAAAAAGAATCAGTGAAACTAATGATGTTTCATGTCAGGGTGGGTGATTCCCAACTTTTTTATTTCTATATTTTTATAGTTTAAAAAATATTTTGTCATTTCATAATCTGGAACAGTATTGTTTTTAAATCGGCACATGTTGAAAATACACAGTGCTGACACTCAATTCTCTCATCCCTCTGCTTTTTCACCCCTCCAAGAAGCTTTGGAGTTTCAGGATGGTGCTGCCGCTCTGCAGTGTGCACGCCTCCTGCAAGCTGAGCGTCTGGGCTGCAGTCTTTAGCGTCCTTCTGGCCATTCTTTAAATGGCCCTCTTCCGGGCAGCTCAGAGTTGTCAGTGTTGTCCTCATCCCAGTACATCGTGGCCAGGCTTGGTTTAGTTTTTAGCTTACTGACTTTCCTATCCCTAGGAGGCTGTGCTATGTCCTTAATCTTATAGCATACTAAGTCAGCCTGCACGCACAAGTGGGATTTAGAGAGGAAGTGAGCATGTTCCTTCCATAGATCAGGAAGTTGTCTACACTGTGCTCTTTAACAGAACTAATGTCCACATCTGAAGTGGATCAAGGGCAAAAGATGAGACTAGCAAGAAAGTCACTTAAGTGTGCTGTCTGAGCCTCTGCTGGAGTTTTTCTGCATTTCTACAGGTTAGGGTAGTATACTCCATGGTTCTTGGAGGACAACCCCAAGTTAAAGAGATAAGCATTCTTAAGTTCTTAATTGTCTTAAGTACAGCTCTTCCTCCCACCTTCATACTAGTGTTTAAATCTAGGACCTTGAGCATGCTAGGAATATTCTTAACCATTAAGCCACATCCCTGGCCCTTTTTATTTTGTTTTGAGGCAGAATCTTGCTAAGTTGCCCAAACTGGCCTTGAACTCTCAATGCTCTCAATCTCCAGATTAGCTGGGATCACAGGCATGTACCACCACACCCTGCTCTACAGCTTTTGTAACAATTTTTTCTTATTTAAAAAATAAGGGAAGGTGTTTTTTTGTTGTTGTTTGTTTTTTTTTTTTACTTAAGAAGCACAAGTTAATTAAGAAAAGCTTTAATAACCAACACCGTATTTTTAGAGAGGGGGATCATGTTGAAATTAGGCAAGAATAAATAAAATGAAAATTACAGTTTTTTAAGGTCTGTGTGGAATAGGATGGCAACTGAAAGTCGATATGTATGCTGGAATTTCAGCAAACAAGAAAACATGTTTTTAAGTGGCAAGTGAGATTTTTAGAAGTTGAAAGGGTGACTATTTGAGACTTAAAATGTATTTTTATGTTCATATTTGTTTCAAGTAATAGACATTTATTCTCAATTGTTTCCCTTCCCAAAATATCCTGTCTTCTTTTATAATAGTACATTACCAATTGGTACTGATAAAAGAAATGATACATTTCTTCTCAGTAGGGCAGCATTTCTATCATGGTGAGTTATGGCTATAGATGCTATCAAAAAGGGGACAAATTGTTGGCCATTTGAAGTTTGCTATCCCAAAGAATGAGCTGTTCTCTCATTGGCAAACTACTGATGTGGTGTGCAGGAACACTCACATCCAACTGGGTGGGCTGGTGACCAAGCTTTCCTGGAGGGACTGCCTCATTAGCCAGCTTCTTTAGGACCCTTAGAAAAGTACATTTGCCCCAGGTTTGATTTACATCTAACTTGGGGAGAACACATTTCTTGTATAAATAGTGCTTAAAAGAATTGGATCCACTTTAGCTGTTATGTGTGGTTTATAATATTTTGTTTAGATAAAACAGTATTAGTCACAGTACAGGTAAATTTTAGCTTGATGTATATCAAGCTAAAGTGTGAACAGGTCAACTTATTTTGTTCATTATAAATCATTATAGAAACAAAATCATTATACATAAATCATTATTGCTATATTGAAATATGGCATAATAATAACATATGGTAGATTAGATAAGTGGTATAGTGGAAAATCTGTCACTTATCAAAAGGTATGGCAATTTTAGATTTTGCTTAGTATAAAAAGCTGGAGTATAAAGTTCAGGTTATTATTATAAGTTATTCCCTATTCAGCACACACTGTCAGTGTGCCGTTAAGTGACCATGTGGTTTGTCCCTCTGCCTTAGACAGTGTGTCTTTCACAAAGTTGGATGTGCCCCTCTGTGGCCCTGAACCAGGAACATGGAGCAGTCACCAGCACTGCCCCTGATTGTCTACAGGCAGGCCACCTTTGTGTCTGCTCCACAGCCTGTTGGTAGAAGAGAGCATTTTTTTTCCTAACAGTTATGGAGCCTGTGCAGTTGCTGGGGAATGAATCAAAGTTCTGGGTTTTGTTGAGCTTTAATCTGATGGCTTGTCCTGATTCATTTTCTTAGCAAATTGCAGTTATATTTCATGGACCTGCCAGAGTGATTGGCAGCTTGTAGGGTGGAAGGGTCTTCTGGATTCAGCTGACCCAGGTTTTAATCTGTCACATAATAGCTCTGTGGCCTTGGGCAAGCTACTTTTCTGAGTTTCAATTTCTGTATTTATAGATTGGAATAATAGTTCCTAGCTCACCTAGTTTTTGTGAGGATTGAAATAATAAAAAGAATGTGAAATTTCTATTAGTGAACTCTTAAAAACAAACAAAAGGTGGTAATGGAGGTGATGGAGAGTCCACCACTTCAACCCCAGACAGTGCAGGTTTGGGTAATGCACCATTTGTTTAGGAATGGAGGCAACCCTGGGCCTGTGGCTCTAGGCCTCGGATCAATGCAGTAGACTGAATCCTTGCTCCCTGGCCTTCTGGGCTAGTCCTGGGGTCTGGTCCTGTCTGTGTGTGGTCCTTGCACAAGACTCATTTCCTGAGTGGATGCAGTGCCCGTGGTACAGAGGATATCCAGTGCAGAGCAAGGCAGGGCCTGGCTGCCAGGTTGGAGAGGCATGGGGGTCTGGAAGGCGAAGACACCAGTTTGCTTTTAGGCATTTTGCTGTTGAGCCCTGTTCTGTATTTAGGGCTTATTACTTGAAGAGTTCTTTTAATCTAGATTTTTTCCTTATATGTGATATTTGTTTTCTTTTACCTGTGGGTTTTTAAAATTTTGTCTTTACTTCTTTATTGTTAGGTAAGCAAATAAGTTTTTGCCAGATGAATAAAAAAAAATGAATTTAGATAATTGAAGGGTAGAGAGAAAGGAATAGAAATTCCTCACCTAGTTCTACAGTATGATTTAGAAATTTACAAGAGTATTATCTATAAAGGGCTTTCATAGACCATTTTCCAATATTTTTATTTTCATTGGGATCTTCTGAAATGCCATTTAAAAATTCTGAGTCCAGAGGTCACTTCCAAATCTTTTCAACCCATTCACTGCCTCCAGCTTCCCCCCCCCCCAAAAAAAAGCTTAACCTTGCAAATCTGCGATTTCTTCCCATTCTTAAAAAGTGAGCAAGAGAGAGAGAAGAAAAGGAATATCAATATCATTTCAAAATAAGGGAGAATGTTGCCTCTGGGTTTCTAAGTGGGGAGAGAAATGACTGGTGAGACTGCACTGCGGGTGTCGAGCATCGCTCTGGCCTGTGGGTGACTGCCTGGGTCAGGCAGCTCTTTCACATGCTTTAGCACATGGTTGATGATCTCGTGACTGAGATAACTGGATCAATACTATTTACAAAATAAGCTGAGTGGATGTAAATAAACCTTGCTACTATTAAAATTTTGTATTCCGTTTATAGCCTAGGATTTCTATTTACTTGTATCTGTTCACATTAATTGCTGAGGTTCATGCCATTCTATTGTAGATTGGTACTAAGAGGCCTTTCTTTTAAGGATCTTCTGTTGACTTTTTCATTACATTTCTATAGCCAGATCAAGTCAGATTCATGTTCACAAGTATGCCCAAGGAGATTAAGAACTGATGCATGAAAAGATAGGAAAACAGTTCCAAATCCTAAGTGTCAAAAGCAAGTTTATAATACAGGCAAGTGCATTTACTCCTATGTTTCTATAGCTCTTTAGGGAGCCACATTTAAAAGGGAGGAAGAGTTTCCTTACCTAAACTGAATCCAAAAAAATTTTTAATGTCCATTTATTTTCCTGTAGCTTGCTGATGACCGTATGGCACTGGTGTCAGGCATTAGCTTAGACCCAGAAGCAGCAATTGGTGTGACAAAGAGGTCACCTCCAAAATGGGTGGATGGAGTGGATGAAGTAAGTTGAATGAGAGTTTCTCAGTATCTCATTTTTTTTTTTAAGTAATAATAACATGTTTTAAGATATCTGCCATATAAACTACTGTGACTATAGATGAAATACTTAAGCATTGGGTTTATTCATTTTACATATCACACAAGAAAAGTATGTGTTAATGATTTGGCTTTAGTTTTTTTTGTTGTTGTTGTTTATTTGTTTGTTTTGTTGTTTTTTGGTTTGGTTTGTTTTTTTTTTTTTTTTGTAGTTGTAATTATAGGAGGACAGAATGACTTTATTTTGTTTATTTTTATGTGGTGCTAAGGATTGAACCCAGTGCCTTATAGGTGTGAGGCAAGCACTCTGCAAATGAAGTATAGCCCCAGCCCTTGGCTTCAGTTTTCATGTTAGTGGTAACCACCTGAATTATAGAAAGAAATTGAAATGTTATTCAAGGACAATGTTTAATTTCGGGGTAACTTGAAGGCCCAGCCCTGTTCTGAGTGTAGTTGTCTCAGTGACCTAGACACCTGCCAGGCATCATGGATGGTGACTTCATTTATTCAGATACAATACGATGTTGGCCGGATTAAACAGAAGATGAAGGAATTAGCCAGCCTTCACGATAAGCATTTAAACAGACCCACCCTGGATGACAGCAGTGAGGAGGAACACGCCATTGAAATAACCACCCAAGAGATCACACAGGTGAGACCACAGAGGATCCTGGGAAGTTGATGGCCAGGCCAAGTCTCCTTGAGGCCATCTCAAAAGCCACACAGTATTGCCACTCTAAACCAGTTGGTGGACCATTCTAGAGTTTCACTTCCAAGCCTGAAGTTCTCAAAGGAACTTATAGTGGTCCTGAGGCCCACCAGGTAGCAACATATGGGTGCAGTGACCTGGAGATGTGGGGACTATTTTTTAATTGTTTTAATATATTTATATTTTTAAATATACAATTTCTTTTATATACTAGTGCTTTAAAATTTATGTTAAAATACAGTTCTCATAATTGAAACAAAACAGCATACTAAATTTTTTTATAAATGTTAAAAAAAATTGGTATATATAATTATACACAATAGTGGGATTCATTATAAAATGTTAAATCTGAATAATTTTTAACTACCATGGGCTATGTTTAAGCATTAGTGTTTGTATTTTTATTTGTTTGAATCTCTTGCATGCCTGTCTTCAGAGGAGAAGTATCCTAACGTGGGAACACTGGTTTCTCCATGAATCCCTCTAACTCCAGCATTCTCCTATAAAAGTGGGAATGACAGCAATGCTAGTACCTGCCTTCCGGTGTGTGCATGGGAATTAAAGGAGAAGAGGGCAGTTATAGCAGGGTAGCTGGTAAAAATGGCATGAGGTCACATGCAGTGTGGGGCTCACTACAGGCACAGGGATGTGGGAAGGGGAACCCAGTTGCATCCTCCTGGGTGTACAAGTGAAGCTGCAGGTGGTTTCCATCCCGGCAGCTTTCCCTGCACTGCTACATGGCACAGCACTGCCCTCCCCCACTTTTATGTGGCAGAGGCCTTCTTGCCCTGAGCATGGCCATTCTCTCAGCTCTTCCACAGGTGCCAGCGTGCTGTGCAGGCCCTGCCCAGCCGGGCCCGCAGGGCCTGCTCGGAGCAGGAGGAGCGGCTGCTACGCAATGTGGTTGCCTCCTTGGCACAGGCCCTGCAGGAGCTGTCCACCAGCTTCCGGCATGCACAGTCGGGCTACCTCAAACGTGAGTGCTGCCTGCCCTACTGAAGGGACTTAGAGAAAAGAATTACTTTTTGTTCTCTTTGTTTCTTTTTTGCAACTCTTTCTCTATTTATTCCTTGTACCTTTTCCATTCATGCTTTTTGTAACAAAAGGAGGTCCCCTCCCCAGGTTAACCAGAGGATCCTAGAGTAGTTGACATCTAAGCAAATGTTTATTCCATCTCAAAATTGAGGAATTTGAAAATCATCCTAGCGTGTTGAAAAAAAATTGCTGTTTTCTAGCTGTTGAAGCTTGGGAACTGCTCATAAATAGGTAAAAGAAATAGTTGTCATCACATGAAGCCACATATTTACATAACAACTGAAGTATTGGAGAATGCCTAACAAACCTCTGAGAATAGCTTATAAGTACTTCCTGCCTTCACCACCACTTTGTTCAGCGTACCTTTTCTTCCCAAACAGTTCAAAGCCAAACAGTCATATCCTCATTCTACTTACCTTGGAAATGGGGTTTTTACTTTACCATTGCAACCAGCCAATAAAGTCCCCACATGCTTAAAACAAAATAAACAAAAAAAAAAAACCTCTCTTTCCCTTCCCTCTGACAATTGACAATATTTGTATTTTAATTGTATTGCCTCTGAAATTTGATTAGGGTTATTTGAGATTCTCAATAGAAATGCTCCTAGAGAAAATATTGATTTGTTGTTGTTGTTAATGTTTTGTAATAGCAGTTAGAGTGACCATTTCTGTTTCACTCAGAGATTCTCAGATGGTTGTGTCGTTTTGTCTTGGCATCAGGTGAGCTGTGCACAGCTAGAGTGGGACTTGTCTTGAAGGTCTCTCAAGGCTGGCACACCCTCGCATGTATTAATGCCCTCCTCCCCACCCTAGAGCTGCTTCTCTGAAGCTTCTAGGAGATCTCCACTTTGACTGTTGAGTTTTACTCTAGATTTCCCCTTTTTAACGGTGGAACAGTAACCAGAATGGTTTACATATTCAAGTAAAGTGGATTCCTATCTATGATAGGCATGAAGAATCGAGAGGAAAGATCCCAGCATTTTTTTGATACATCAGTACCACTAATGGATGATGGAGACGATAATACTCTGTATGATCGGGTACGTGAAGGGGCTGCAAAAGTGACTGCTGTGATAGGCACTCCTCGGTTTCCTCCTGTCCTAGACCTCGACTCCTGTGCAGTGCAGTGCAGATGCAGTGTGCTCTTGACTCCCATGTCCACCAGGTAGCCTTTGCAGCAGGCGGAAGAACAGCCACACTGTTTCTTCCTTTTCAGAACCCGCAGAGAGACCTTGTAGTCTGCTTTCCAGAACTGTTAGGAAAGCAGTCTTACCCCGCTTTCTCAGGAAGAACCCAAGGAAGCACAGGGTCATCCCTGAGCCCTTGCATGGCTACAGACTGGGCTTCTTTCTATGTCCCCTGCTTTGGTGACAGTGCCATAGATCCCGCTGCTTGGGGGAATTTGGATCTTTCCTATTATGGAAAAATAAGTGCTTATTGTCATGTGCTTTATAGAAATATTTTCAGAATTCGTTTTCTTTAAATGATATCTGAGCTGGCGTGCCATAGCTTTCCCAGTGGGGAATTTCCATGCTGTTGTTTCGCTAGGGCTTCACAGACGACCAGCTGGTGCTGGTGGAGCAGAACACGCTGATGGTGGAGGAGCGGGAGCGAGATATACGTCAGATCGTGCAGTCCATCTCTGACCTCAATGAGATCTTTAGGGACTTAGGAGCCATGATTGTAGAACAGGTATGCAGGTCCTCCTTCCCCATCTGTGAAGTTTCCTGCTATGATGTGCATCCTTCTTCGAAGTCCTTTGAATCCTGTATTTCAATCAGGGAAAGATTTGAACTGTGCTGTGTGTGTGCATGTGTACAGAAATATACATAGTAGGTATATACTTACAAGTGATTTACATTGGCTGCTGTCTTTCTCTATAAAAATATTAATAAACTTTTTTTCAGATAAAAAGAAATAAGTAGAAGTTGTAATATTCCCTGCCTCTGCCCCAGGGCATTGATATGAGCCCACTGCTGTGGGGACCGAGCAAGCCCAGCCCTAACTCTGGCAATAGAGAAGATTTCCTCTCGGATTTTGGCGGGTTATTGTGTGATGGCGCTTAGAATCACCAGCTTCCAAGTAGAATTAAATTGCTGTTCACCGTTAAAATCTGATTAGAGCATTTTATTATCTTGCCAGCAGGGATTTGGGTCCTGATCCCCCTGAAACCAACTGCAGAATGGAGTGTTCAGGCTACACGAGATCCAGTTACATTAATTACTCCCGTGCTTCCCAGTGAACCTCCATCTCTCCTGATCTAGCATGTTTCCAATAAGAGTCCTGCCCTCCCTGCAGCCCAGTGTCCCCTTCTTCCTATAGGAACCCCGGAAATTAAATAATTAAAAACACTTTTTTTTGAGACTAGATTTTAAATTTTAGTTGGTAGATTGGAGCTTTCCGTATTCTGCTCCGACCTGTGGAGAATCTTGTTCACTTTTGTAGATGTAATGGTCAATGAGCAGATCTAGTCATGACTAGGTTGAGCAACAAAGTTGTCTCTTTGCTGCACAGAGCTTATTTCCATTGAACTCTATATTTTTTAAATCCCTAGTAAGTCTGAATACAGTGTATCAGACATTGGCTAAATCCAAAAAAAAAAAAATCAAAAACAAAAACCTCAAGTTGTCAAGTCTTTTCCATTAACCAGTCTTCATTGAAACTAACCCTGCACTCTGGGCTGGAGTACCTGATGTTGCTTGAGGGTCGACTCCTGCACTTCCATTTGAGCCCCCTAGCCACACAGTTAGGTGGTCAGAACATGCAGGGTGGATTCTTTCTATAAATTTGCATGTCTTGTATTCAAAGTTCAGTTCCCCCACTGCAACTGTTGATCCTGCGTGTGTGTCCTTTGTTACTCAGGGTACGGTCCTTGATAGAATTGACTATAATGTTGAACAGTCCTGTATCAAAACCGAAGATGGATTGAAACAGCTTCACAAGGTAATATCATCTTCCGTTGGTTGGGAGTTTTTAGGAAATGTCAGCAACTCTGGAGAGTTTGTGAGAGAATTCACAGATGTCCACCATGGCTACCGTTGGCATTCCAGTGCATGGCCAGCTCTCTGTGGTTGTGTCAACGCACACCACCATTTCATTCCAGCTGCCTTGCGGGGTGCTGTTGCCATTTTGCTGCAGTTAACTGATCCAGATGTGCTGCAGTCTGGGGTTACATGTTACTGTGACAGTAAATCCTGAAGGGACTTAGTTTTCCTTTCCTGAGTCATCTCTTATTCTCTATGGGGGTATCTGCCTGGGAGCAGCTACTGATTCCAGCCCCCTTGCTGGTGGAGAGTCCCTCTGGAGAGAACAGAGGTCTCACTTTCCCTCTGCTGACCACGCCAAGTCTGTGCATTACTTGGAGAAGAGGGAGTTTGTGGGAGTGTGAGCGCTGGTGCTTTCATTCTTTGCTGATGAGGTGCCTGTTTCAGGATGTTTTCATGATATTTGTTCATTTCTTTCTGTTAAAAATCAGTGGGAAACATCTTAGAAGTCTCATGCCACGAATACTATGTGCACATGTTTTCTTTTAAAGGAATATAATAGTGCTTCACAGATAAAACAAATTGTGTCCACTTCCTTGTATTATGAGACCCAGTAGTGTTCCTAGCCACACAATGAGCCTTTTCCCAATTCTCTAACACAATACGATATTACTGTTCTAAAACCAGTTGCCAGACAGCCCAGATGACCACCTAATACCAATGACAGGGTTCACAGAGTGACCAGTCTATAGTCTACCTCAGGTGCTAGCCATGGCTGGCACAGGAGGGACTGAAAGCAGCACCCAATAAGAGGGAGGCATGCCCTGACCTTGCGGAGGCTGTTTAAGTATTTAGATTAACCCAGTTGCCAAGCCCTGTATATTAAAGTGAAAATCAACTTTAGTTCTTCACAGTGTGATACCAGGTTCTGATATGCTGCTGCATTATGCATTGGTTTTGAAGTTTCTTAAATAACAATGAGTGGGGTATGTTTTGCATTCTAAAAAGGATGGTGGGGGGGGAACCTCCCCTCAGGAATAAACAGACCTAGGGGGACTAGAAATGTCCTCATGGGTTGTATTGTCTGCCTCATTGCAAGAGGCTTTCTGGTATGTTTTGGGTATTGGCCCTAGGCTTGGGTGTACTCATTAGGACAGTAGGGGTGCACCCTGGTCCCTCAGGCCTCATGTGGGCAGTGGGATCAGGCAGCTATGTCCTGGCACATGGCTCCTCTGAGGATGACTGAGCCTTAGTAGTCACTTCACTGTCCTGCCATTTCCTCTCAGTTGAGAAGGGGCTCCACCAGTGGATGGGGGGCTCACCAAGGAAGAAGGCAGGGGGCATGGAGGTGGGACAGAAAAAACTATGTCCTCGCCAGTTCTCCTCATCCACCTGGGATTGCAGATCTGGAGGGGACCTGTACTCCCTGGAGTGCATGTTGGCCCCTTGCCTTCCTATCCTGCCTAGGAAGAGGTTTTCTCAGGGGCTGTCAGGGGCAGTGGCAAGGGGCGTGCTGGCATTTCTGCACCTCAGGCATGTTGGGTTATCTGAGCTCTCCCAGATGGGCCTCCCCAGGCTGGGTTTTTGGGAGCTCCTCCGTTTTTCTGAGTAGCACCTGGCACTGGGAGGGCTTGCCTCAGGTGGGCTCTACTCACAACAGCTATGGGGCACATTTAACCCATTTCTGTTTCAGAGGATGAATGTTTTTTATTTCTAAGTTTAGGGGAAGTTGAAAATGAGCCTCAGCCGTCTATTGCCGTCTGTTCTGTACCTCCTGGTTATGGGAACTGTACGTTCTATTCTCTTTCACAGGAAAGGCGATATGCACCTGTGTCTAGACATGGGACTTTCTATGAGGCTGAGGAAGCCAGAGTTGGGGGGAAATCAGGTGCACCCAGATCCAGAAGCACAGTCTTTGGCATCTCTACAGCCTTTGTCTTAACAGCAGATCCCAACAATGTTTCCCGAGTCCATGATTAAACCAAGGGATGGTTGACTAATGTGGCCTGGTCTTTAGCAGACACATTGCTACTTGCTATGCAGAAAGTGTCAGAAGCCTCTCCAGAAAGCAAGGCTACTGGGTTTGGGTTCTGGGGAAATGACTGTCTCTTTCCTCCTCTCCCTGTAGGCAGAACAGTACCAAAAGAAGAACCGGAAGATGTTGGTGATCCTGATACTCTTTGTCGTCACCATCGTCCTCATTGTTGTCCTCGTGGGTGTGAAGTCTCGCTAGCAGTGTAGGGTTCTCACACCACTGCGATGATTTCCTGGGTGTGGGGGCTCAGCCCGCACTCCCGGCTACTGCAGAGCTGCATCCGTGGACTGTACGGGCACCAGGTGCAGGGTCCACCTCTGCTGCTGCCCCTCACTGCACTGGCGCCCCGCGTGGAGGCAGTGGGCCTTTGTTTTCATCTCTTTCAGGGTGCGAGGACCTTTACTCTTGTGACAGGGTGGAGGTTGGTTCTGTGCTCAGTTATAATTCATATTTTTTACAAAGTGAAGGTGAGTTGAATGTTTCTGGCACTGCTGTGGCTGCTCAGTGTGGTACGTCTACGTGCTATTTTTTTAGCAGTCAAGTCTGAGCAGCATGTTAAAATAATTTTTGGAAAAATTTTTTTTAAACCATGTGGTTTTTAAGAAATTTGGTACCAAAAATTTATGAGTAGAGGCAAAAATGCCTTTTCATCTGTCTCTATATTTTCCAGTTGAAACAAACCAAGAAGTCCTTTAAGAATTTATAATCTGTTCCCCATTAACTTAATTTAGCTTTTCCATCACTGCTAATGATCAGAGTAACAAAGTGTGAAAAATAAGAAACCATTATTGATGTTAATTAACACATTTAGATGGGCCAGTTAAAACAGCTTCATAAGTTTAAATTAATTGTAAATAGAATATTCCTCATTTAAAATTTTTGCACATTTCTACTGTAAATCAAAAGGGGTTACTAAGCAAAACCATCTCAGTTGAAAAGTTGGTGATTTGAACCAACCTCCCATTAAGAGGAAGCTTGACTGTGTCATGAATGTCACAGACTGAGCCGGTGTGTCCTGGTTGTCCCTGGCTGTCCTCACTCCATCACTTACATACTAACCACATAATGACCTGTTCAAACCAGACTCCATCTAATGAACTGTGAATTTACACAGAGGCCATTTTAAATGGGTCACCCCATTTAGGATTAGTGGATCTCAAATTATTAACCAAACATCACTCCATTTCAAAGTAAAATCTTCCACCAGTGGTTTGATTTATGGGCTCTTCTGCTGCCACTCAGCAATGCTGGGAAAGTAGTCCTGTTCCCCAGGGCGGCAACTGGGAAACCCTCACCCGTGGGAGTGGGACTTGGTTTCCCTCGCTGTGTCATTGTAGTGTCTCCCTCTGTGTTCCAGGAACTGGGGCCGGGGGTGGGGGCAGTGATAACTCTGAAAACTGAGGCTGTTTGAGTTTTACTTGCCCAGTTTTAATTGATACCAGCTTTAATTTTACTGGCCTTTGTGTAATTTTTTTTATAGCTTTTTCATTGTTTTTGCTTCTCTTAAAATTTTTAAGAAGAGCATGACCCCATTAAATGTATTACATTTTACTTGAACCGGTCACATAAAATGCCTCTCTAGAATTGACTTTGAAGTGGTTTCCAGAAATATACACTCAAAGCTATAGACTCCAGTCATCCAAACAAATCGTGGGCTTACCACCCAGCCCCGGCCTGGCCTCCCCTTCTCTCATTGTGTCTGCCTCCAGGCGGCCTCCGGTTTCCTCTTTCTGAGGCAGGGTGGAGTGAGGGGCTGCCACAGGTGTGCCTGCCGTTCCCAGGCAGATGTTTATGAAGGAAGAGGAATGGATGCCTCCCCCGCATCTCCAAGGTGTGGGACTCTAGAGACCTCTGGGACCCCACAGTCAGATGGTGGCAGGGTGGGGTGGGGTAGCTCTCCCAGTTAGGGGTCTTGCCTCAGAAGCAATCCACAGAGGCTGTGCTTGATGATTGTTGAAGTTTTTAAAAAGGTAGGGTCTTTGCAACCCTTGAAGCAAATTGACCCTTTTAGAACAGCTCTCCACTTATTTATAAATATTTATTGCCCTGAATAGGGTAATTTGGGTTCTTCCGTAAACCATAGTGGACCTAATTAGAACTTATTTTCAGGACCTCCTGGAGAAGGGGAAACTGTCCCCTTCTGCCTGCAGCCAGGGCAGTGCTGGCCAAGCCCTGCTGTCTGCTGCTGTGACTGGGGTCCCGGAGGCAGAGGCGGACAGGCCCAGCCAGGTGCTAGCCCCAGAGCTTGTGCATTGACTGTTGGTTCTCAAATCACTGTGTTTTTTGTTGAGCCTGTTGGGGGGCGGGGGTGGAGGGGTGAGGGGGATGAGTAGCATTTGAGGAAGTTAAGAGAAAACCAGTTGTTATGGCCTGGTACCTCAGGGCAGCACTTTGCCTTGCAAAGAGGTGGACCTTTAACTGGCCACAGCTCCTGTCAGTGGTTGGGCCTTGGGGGTATCGATTGCCCGGGCCACTCTCCCCTGGCCTGGGAAGGGCCCTGTGGGACCCTCAGGCTTAACCTGGATACATGCCCTCTTCCAAGTGTCCAGGGCCAGTTCAAATGGAAGTGGTTGTGTCTGTTCTCCAAGCTTATGGTCTTCCCTGAGATTGTAACTGAAAACTGCTGTCTGTTGTTCTTGTTTGTCTGGTTCTGGTGGTGGTGGTGGGTGCTGGCTGGGCCATGCCACGTGAAGCAGTACGCGTCTCTAATTTAACGGATTTACCACTCTCTCTGCTAATTGAGAGAGCATTATTTATTTGTTTTGTCACAAGTGCTTGCAGTGTTTTATCCCAGCTAATGGCTTCTTAAAGGTAATAAAACCCTTCAACCTAATTGGTCAGATAAGACTTTTTTTCTTGTATGCTTAAATAAAGCAATTAGTGAAATGCTTCTATCCAAAATGACTTTTTTTGTCCTTTTTTAAGAACTAATTTACTGTCACTGGAAACTTTTTGTACAATAAAGCAGTTGTGTAGATTAAAGAACATCCTGCAGTCCTGGTATTAATTTTAATGGCGGGTTTACCGTTTCCTTCAGATGCATTTGTGTCAGGGGAGCACCTGGCCTGGTCTGGTCTGTGATCTTGTGCCTGAAGCCTTTGCCTGAGTGTCGGAAAGTCAATCTGTCTATCTAATGAAAGCTTTCAAAGGGACCAATCTATTTGCTGTCCAATATACAAAAAAGGGAAACTGCCTTAAAAGGAGTTAATTATTTTTCTTTTGAAAACATTTTATACACATACCAAGAACCATTTGGAAATTTTCACATGAAACTCTATAGTGTTCCTGAAGTAATTCTTAAAACACAGGATTCGGGACACTTGATTTTCTAAATGGCCTTGCGCCTTTCCCATCCTGCTGTACTGAAAACTTGAGGGATACTGTTTGTCAGTTGGACTCAAAGCCAAGACTGGTCCTCGCAAGCTGGGTAGCCCTTTGTCAGGAAGTACTGGCTTACAACATGGATACTGCTGGCAGAAGGTTTGCCAGTGAATCAGGATGGGGTATGACTGCTTTAATATCACAGTCCAGGTAGTGTCCTTGGTACTGGGCATTTCATCCTGAGACCAAAGAAGCAGCAGCTGCCACCCCCGTACCCTTGCCCTGTTCTTTGACTAGAAATTAGAGTTCGCCCAATTTGCTTGTCAGCCATGTCTCTGCCTGAGAGTAAGATCCACTCTCAAAGGACAGACTTCTGCTCTAGATTTGAGGATGTACAAACTAATGGTGATCACATTAAAGAAGTCATCCATTCTGACATGGCAGGAAGGTGGCTGCAGGCTCGGCTGCGTGTGTGCTTCCTGAGTGGCAACCTCTTGGGTTATGTTCCCAATGGAGTCCTTGCCAGCCCAGTCAGATAAAACCCAGAAGGTTGCTCTTGAGCAGAGAACTCCAAAGATTTAGGCCCTGGCCTGAAGGTGGTGGAGCATTGACTCATCCCCTCTGAATGCTCACCTTGACCGTGGGAGCAAGGCTGGATGTAGATTTACTCTGCCAAGTGTAGCAAACAGCCTACATGTTTAGTTGTCCAGTCAACCCAAAGTTAGCGCAGTCTTCCCTGGATGGCTACCACTGTGGAGTCGCAGGGAAACAAGTGCCCTTGTCCAGCATGACCTGAATCCACACACAATGGCCAGTGTGTTTCTCCACATGCTGCCTCAGGTCATCAGGGTCTCTCTTTCTCATCAAACCATATGGGAACCATGCAGAAAGACCTTTGCTGGGAAGGGGACGGTCATTAGTTGGGTGCAGGGAAGAATGCCTGCTTCTTGGTGGTGCACATCACTGATGAGTACGGGAAGTTTCGATTTTTTCTAAGACTGGGGAGGCAGATGTTAGCTGCACCCTGGAACTTGGTACTGTGCACACACTCCAGTGTCAGCCTTGCATTGCAGCTCTCCTTAAGCACACCCACCTTTGAAACCCCCAGCTTTTCTATCTGCAAATCCTCTCGACCACCCAGATGGCACCTTTAACCTTGTGCCTGGTGTTTTTGTTTAGTTCTGTTTTGAAACTGAGGGAAAACAGCCCCCTTCAAGTTGATGGGTATCAAAATGAGCGAATGAAGGCCCTAGGTGGGCACACAGAGGTTTCCGTTTAGGACTCAGACAGTGGGCACCAACTGTGCATCTTGTCCCCAACTCCACAACAACTCAGATGGTTGTCATTGTACCAGTCTGTGGGTTTTCTTACAACACAAAGAGACATTCCACAGAGCCAAATGGCAGAGACTTGCACACACAATTATCTGGTCAATTGAGGCAAAAGAAAATAATCATTTGTCCAATTGTCCAAATTAGCTCTCTGGACTGTCCTGAATGCTCAGGATAATTGTGTGGTCCTCCACTTTTGTTCCATAATCTGGCTAAAATGGACCATTTTAGATGAGGCTCCATTCAACACAATGCACATTGAAATCAGACTCAGTTAAAATAGACCACTAGGTTTAGCACTTTCTGTTTGTCAACTGCAATCCTATAATTGCTTTTAACTAATCATCCAGATTCTACCATTAGTAATCACTAGATTTCTCATTTTATAGATGTCCTCACAGAGGCAAAGGGCTCTGGTATGCGCTATTGTGTCTTTTCCTCAAAGTAGGTTCGAGGAAATCAAACGTTTTTTTCTTAATTGTTTATGTTTTAGCCTGATCTTTAGCTATGGGTCACCAGTACAGACCTCCATTTTCTTTTTCTTTTTTTTTTTCCTGTGGTGCTGGGGATTGAGCCCAGGGCTTAGTGCATGCAAGGCAAGCACTCTACCAACTGAGCTATATCCCCAGCCCTAGATCTCCATTTTCATCAACTCAAACCCCCAAGCCTCTCCCTTTTTCAGATGGGGAAACTGAGGCCTGCAGCAGGACTCACCAAGGTCACACGGAAAGTGTAACTCAGAGCTGGAACTAGAATCATCAGCTCTCTAATTTGCAGACCAGCACTATTTCTGCTTATGCCATTTTAATTGTTCATTTCTTTCCATAAAATTAAATGACCTTCTTCAAGAAAGATTTAATGGTCAAGATGTGATTTGGTAAAAAGCTTCCTCAAGGATTTTTTTTTTTTTCCTTATTACAAAGATGAGGCCAGGCTGCAGCTAAGAGAGATTTGCAAACAGTGGTGTGTCATTATCCCAGTTCAGTTTTTTTGTGTAATTGGTGTGAAGAGATTGCTGCCGATGAGTCAGCCTGCTGCTGGACAGAAAATAATGATTCTTTTGTGACATGACTTGGTGTACATACACGTGAGCTTGGGGTTGTTTATAAAAGGTGTATATGTACACAAAACGCTTACCAAGATGGATAATGTCATCATGAAGTTGTAAATAATAAGAAATAGTCTTGAGCAAAACTGATTTAATATTTGCCTGAGAATGTAGCACTTCATTTCAACACTACGCAATGGCTAGAAATTGATTTTTTTTTAAATCCAATTAAGCCTCAAGGTTGGTTATCCATTTAAAAGGTCGGATGAGTTAAACAATGACAGTACCTTCCGTTCACGCTAATAATTAGATTTGCTCAGAGCCTCAGCACTGGCATGGTGCCTTGCAGAGGCTCACATTTTGTACCTTTGTACAACTGTGAGCCACCCATGTCCCCAGCCACGCACTAGCTGTACCAGCAAAGCAGGGACCCTCAGCTGGCTGCCCATCTGATTCCCAGCACCCACCCATGAGTGTGTGAATCTCAGCAGACGGCTACCTACTCTCCTTTCTATGGTCCCAAGAGTATTGAGACATGGAAAGTCACCCTTGGTTAAAGGGAAAAGAAAGACGCAGACACCACCTGGTTGTGTGTGCTACCTAGTTTATAATAAAACAAATTCAGCTTTTAAAATGGTGCTTTTTATAGCACATATTTACTATGTGCTTCTAACAGGTTGAGAACAAGACTTCAAAATGCCTTTTTATGGTTTTTGTAGGTAATATTTAAGTATTACTGAATTTATGAAGATGTTGGGAAAACCACGAGCCTGATTGGAATGCTTTTTACTTTGTGTGAGCTGTAATGTCACTCATGTTTTGTAAATTACTGGGAAGGGACAAGTGATCTTACCTCAAAGCTAGCATTTTAACCTGCATTGTAACATAAGGTTCGTGTATTATAGCACTTTGCATCCATAACCAAAATGAGGCACCTTCCAGATTCAGTAAGAAAAAATATAGAATTTCCTTTGCATCTCAAAAAAAAAAAAAAAACCCAACAATTTCTGGTTCGTTTCTGCCTCCCCACCCTTTCCTTATACTGTTCAGCTGCCAAAATCCTCAGCAACAGATTTACGATTCTTTTTAAAAGATCCACTTCAGATACCACAGATAGACATGTAATAAACACAGGGGTGTTTCTGGGAAAAATGTGACGCAAACTGAAGATTGAATCACTTTCAATGCACCGAGGAAACGTACTGTTTAGCAGGATCTATAAGTGAAGGTTTTCCTTTGACAAAGATTTCACGATCCAAATAAACGTTTCCCCCTGCTTTGGCTTTTCCGTCTGTCTCCAGGTTGAGTACGCTGGAAGGAATGTGGAGCCATGTCTGGTCTGTTAATTATTTCTCTTTTCCTTCCTGCAGCCTCTGCATCCCAAGGCTCCAGGTCTTCAGTACGCCCTTGAAAACTTTTGCAACTAAAAAATAATTTTGCTGGTGTTCAGAAGTAAATAGGAATTCAGTTCCCGAGACAGGAGGGTTATTGCTGTTTTACACTGTGCCCTTCCTGGGAGAATAATTTAGGCTGCTGGGAGGGCAGGGGACTCTGAGAGCGTGGCTTCAGCCCCTCATTTTATCAAGAAGTCCTAAAAACTGATGTCCGAAGGAGCGCTTTTTGTTGTTAATAGATGGTTCTGCTAGTACATTTTTATTAACCTGTGCGCTCTCCTCCCGCCATGAGAGCGAGGAGTGAAGATGCAGAGCTTGCTGATGAGGTCACAAAATGCGCTTGTCAAGTCAAATGCCAAAGGGCACAAGCAGCAGGCTGCCTTTGGTGAAAGCTCCCTGAATGTGTAGAATCTTATTTTTCCCAAAAAGAGACAGAGAAAGATAAACCAAAAGCTCATCCAGTGGCAGCCTGTGAAGAGCAAGTGGCGAAGTGAGGGCGAGCAGCTCACTCCTTTGTCCGGTCTTGAGCTATGTGAATGTTCTTTTGTATTCAAAAAAGAAAATGGAAAAAGAAGGAAAATGGCAAACCATTAATATGGAATACAAACAGAGGGCCTAAATGTACTTGATAAGCTACATGAAAATGAGGTTCTCACCAGTGGATACATTCCCAGGATAAGGTTGCAGGATTGTCACGAGGACCGGTGTTAACTCAGAGGGTGGTTGGGAGCCTCGCCTGCCCACCTCCCCAGCTACAAGCAGGGGAGTTGTTTTTTTTTTAGAGTGCAACCTGGGGCGTCCTCTCCTGCATTGTTCCATCGGGGGCTGATCATCCCCTGGGGGGGGAGGGGGAAGGAGAGGGCTGAGCAGGAGCTGCACCGCGCCTTTGGGTC